TGCACTGCTGTTGTGATCTAACCGTGTTGGACTTATTTAGCTAAATGGTAGCCCAGGCAACACGAGGAGTAGTTACACCCTCTTAACACCATACCAACACTTGAAAGAGATACTTGGGCAGTTTCTGCAGATGATAAAGATGATCAAGTAAGAGCATACCAAGTTTTTGGGTTTTTTTGGTTTTTTTTTTTTTTTTTTTTTGCACTGCTGTTGTGATCTAACCGTGTTGGACTTATTTAGCTAAATGGTAGCCCAGGCAACACGAGGAGTAGTTACACCCTCTTAACACCATACCAACACTTGAAAGAGATACTTGGGCAGTTTCTGCAGATGATAAAGATGATCAAGTAAGAGCATACCAAGTTTTTGGGTTTTTTTGGTTTTTTTTTTTTTTTTTTTTTGGCCTAACACCATCGATATTTCAGGGGTTTTCATTTTGATTGCTGTCGAGGCCCTTTGTTGTATGCATACATGCAGCTATTGAGAGTTTAAAGGAACTCTTCCTGGGAAAATAAGGAAGAATTACATTCTCATTTCTGTGAAGAAAAACTTCAGATCTAATTGGAAAGGCTTGGGGATAATCAAGCAACCAAGGGTTATGTATACTTTGCAAAAAGCAGAAACAATGGAATTTTTGAGAAGTATGCAATTCAATTTCTTTGACCTGTTGGGTTTTTTCTCCCTTCACTTCTGAAGGGCTGTACTGTATCGCACCAGTTAAGGCTCTGGCCCACAGAAATTGCAAAGTAGATGTGACCAGTGAAAGTCTAGGAAACAATGTTCTAGAAATGTTTACTGTCCTTCCTATGAACGTCTTAATTTACTGCATTAATTATCCTGAGATAGAGAGCTGCTATTAACTATGTCATTGCATCGTTAAAAAAAAAGTGACATAACGCAGCAAATGTAAATCTCTTCTTGGAGCTTGGAAGCCGCTGTTAGGCTTTATTTTCTAAAACAGCTGTACTTATTCCAGTGGCCTTATCGGGAACTGTAATTGAATTGAAATACATTTTGGCTTTTGCAGTGGTTCTGTTAGATTAATTATGCTTTTAGTAAATCTTGTGTACATGCAATTTCTTTAACATATTTCCTTATTACTGGGCAAAAAGCTGAAAGAAGTTACAAACAAACCTCTAAAACGTAGTATGTGGGAAAAATATCATGTTTTCATTGAAATCTTCCCCGTTGAAGTCAGTGTCTCAGAGGCTAGCAAGTTGCTGCTTTCAGAAGTAGCTTCAAGGTACAGCATAATGATATTTATGAGGGCTGTTAACCTCTAAGCAACTCCTTTTTCCTTCCTGATTGCTGGGTTCGTGATGGCCCGAAGTGATCGGTGGCATCTTTCTTACAGTGGGCTGTGAACCCATGATGTCACCATTATTTTTCCTGTTCGATCACTGGTGGTTATTTCAAGCTGACGTTAACCTGCAATTAGAACAAAGTATGTCTTTGATTCAATGACTGGATGATTTACTGCAACGTTTGTCATCTGTTCCCATTGCTGTGGATGGGAATTCCTCAAGAACCTTCTTTTGTCATTAAGTGTTAATGAAGCATAAAAAGTAAGGAGAAAATAGCTTTCCTAATATATTTGGTATAAGAAGCTGCTTTCTTACCACCAAAATGAAAGCAAAATACTTGGAAATCTATTACCTGAACTTTTTTGGGGGAAAAAAAATAACCTTACATACTGATTTTATACCCCTGAAACATTGTGTTCTACTCTCAACCTCATGAAACTGTAAAACATATGAAAACAAACTATATTGAGCACCACTCCAGAAAACTAAAGGTCAGTTTCCTCTCCAAATGGTAACAAAAAGTGCAGTCTCATTTTTTCTGAAGAAAAAAGGGTTTTCAGAGTTGAGAGTGGTATTTTTCATTGAAAAGACATTTCAGCAAACCATTCATGGGCTGATTTAATCTAGAGCCAACTGAACTAAAGAGATGATGCTGGAACATACCTCTCCGTTTGGCTTAGTATCAGATATTAGTGTTAGTAGAGCTCACATGGGAGTGCGTATCAAGAATTTATCGCAGATGAGGATCTTAAAGAGGAGGAAATTAGCACATGCTCTGCTCATTGATTTATTTAAGCGCTAGTGATCAGTGAGCTTTGTAACCCTAGGGTCAGTTCTGCGCAGAAATGAAGAAGGATATCCTGTCGGAAAACGTTAAGAAGGGCAAGCCAGGGGACAGATTAAGTGGAAGCTTTTGTGAATTTGTGGACTGAATTTGGTATTAACCTCCGGATCTGCATTTCTTCCTGCGGCCTGCAAGTGTGCCGTAGGAGCTGTTTAGGGTTATGTCTCCACGTAGGTGGTGGTCATTGATAGGGGATAGTTGGCAGGTGTTGAGTTGGGAGCGTGTTAGAGATGCCTGCTGGCCAGAATTCATAAGGCAGGGACTGTGATAATTATTGGACGTTTGTGAGGGCCTGGATGTGAGCGTTCCTTTTCTGACAGAATTTAGACGATGCTACTCTCTGCATCCCTCTCCTCAATTTCCAGCTCCTATGGGATGTTTCAACGCATGCTTTGTTTGTCTTTTTCTTCCAGTTACTTTTCCTAAGTATTTTTCCTGTAGTAGCATTCTTGCTTTCTTTTCTCTGAGTAAACACCTTTGAACTTGCTAGCAGTGAGGAGTGCAGGAGTGAGGCAGTTCCACACCAGCTAGGTGAGAAGGCTGAGATCCCAAGCAGTCCCATTCATTGGGGTGGGACTTTTTGCAGGAGCTCATCCAGTACTCGAGATCAACCCCCCAATTAAGTACAAATATTTGTAGTTCTGCCTAACTCAAATGTGCAGACATTTTATATCTAGTAGAAATCTTGTCTGCTTCTTATGAATGTGGCTGTACACGTTCCAGTGGCACTTAATGGGGTCATTAGAAAATCCGTTTAAACCTTTACGTTATGTTATTTGGGGTGTCGCAAGCATTGAACAACTTAACGCCTTGCAGATTAGATGATGATTATCCTCTGCGGTGCTTGCTGCAGTAGCTTGTAACAGAGTATTCTCAAAGCTCTCTCTTAAGCTTGCTATTCAAGCCTGTTCACTCTAGGCTATGTATTGTGTTCAACTTCCTGGTACTTCATGTTGAAGATACATTTGTCTTCTTAATCAGTTTATATCTGCCAGGAATGTATTTAATATAACGTCAAACATAATTTAGATGAGAAGTGAAAGTACAGTTTAGTGTCGGTTTCTGCCAACTGTTATTACTGTGAGAGGGAAGCGCAGCAAGCCAAGCTTAAACGGAGCCTTGAAGCAATAACAAGCTGATTTGTCTGTTTATTTTGGCCTAATGTTCTCGCCTTGCTTACAGAGTCGTAGTAAGCGTGCGCTAAATAACAGACGCTTAAAAACTGTGCTAGATCAGGAACATCAGATCAGAGCATCTAAAGGCCTCAGTAGGGTTGGCAGCATTGTCGTTGTGCTTTATGGGCAATGGTAAATAAGACTTCTTGTTCCAGCGGTATAGGTGTCATATGTGGGTCGAGACAGGAAAGCCATAGAGTTCTCGGGCATCGGATTTACTGTAGTAATAGCCACCGTCTGTCTCCAGAGCTGGTGGGGAAATGCAAATTGTTCTCTCTGAAAACGTCAAAATCTTTCTGGTCCCTCTGCTTGTTGATTGAGAAGGAACAAACAGTTTTGAAATATTTTTCAAACAAAACTCCTCCTCAAAAAAACCCGTAGCTATTTCTAGCTACGTAATTTGTCCCTGTATATTATGTAAGTGGCCAAATACAATAGAAGCTTACTAACTATCGTTATTAACCCCTAGGTCTGATTGTGTATATGGGGGCAAAAAAGCAGAAACAAAACTGAACCAGATCCAGAGTTATCCCCCTGCTTTGGCACAAGGGGCTGTGAAAACACAGGCTGTGTTTCAGCACCGGCCTGGAAACAATCGGAAGTGAAGCGACACGCTATGTTTCAATTCCCCCCGTGGTACAAGACAAGTGGGGAAAGACGCTTGTTTCCACTGTAAATTGTTGTGACCTCTACTGTTGAAAAGTGAAGAATGTTTTACGTTAAGATGGGCCAATCGTGTTACTCGTATTTCATTACTGTTACCATCTGCACTACAGAATATTGGCTCTGAAGGGTTATCCTAGAGCGTAAGTCTAAATCTGTGACTGTAATAAACCAAGTGCGTTTGCTGATGACGGTTGGGTTGATAGAGGTAACCTTGAGGTCTTTACTACATCTTGTAAATTAGAAACTAGGACATGGATCTCCACTGAGCTTTTCTTAAATGATTGAAGTTGTACGCGAATAAAAAGATAGCTCATGGAGGAGGGAGAGCAAGCTTTCAAACATTTGTCTGTTTTTCTGGCAGGATGGAGAAAAAGAAAATTCTAATGAAATCCAAGGTTGCTGCTCCTAACCTCCTGAGGGCACTGCATTCTCTGTACCAGTTCGGTCACCTCTGTGACGTGACAGTTCACACACAGCATCTCGAAAAAAAAAAGCTGTCTTGGCAGCTTCCAGCAACTATTTCAAGGGGCTTTTCCTGCATGATGAGATGCTGGACACCAAGAGTTGCACAGTGACTCTGCAAGACATTTACACAGAAGAGTTCACCTCCTTCCTGGAGTTTGTTTACACTGCAGAAGTGGAGATTGAAGCAGAAAAACTGCAACGGATGAAAGAAATAGCCGAAAGACTCGAATGCTCTTGGCAGCTTCCAGCAACTATTTCAAGGGGCTTTTCCTGCATGATGAGATGCTGGACACCAAGAGTTGCACAGTGACTCTGCAAGACATTTACACAGAAGAGTTCACCTCCTTCCTGGAGTTTGTTTACACTGCAGAAGTGGAGATTGAAGCAGAAAAACTGCAACGGATGAAAGAAATAGCCGAAAGACTCGAATGCAAGGATTTGCTTGACATTTGTGAAGAAGTGAAAGCAGAGGGCAGGAAGGGATTAGATTTGAGCCTCCATCTGAAAGGTCAGCTGCGCGAAAATGGTGGGCCACAGTGGACTCGCATCCAGCAAGAGGAGAACCGTAAACTGAGTAGCTCTTCCCAAGTTGTGGCAATACCCATGCAGAGGAAACTTTGGGATAGGCAAAAACATAAAAAGTTGCTGGCTGGCTACAAACTCATTGAAGGCCAACCAGCAAGCCTGGAGCCAGAGGACACTGCTTTTCCAGAGCCAAAGTCCAGGACGGCAAAGCTACCGAAATGTCGCAAGACAGATACCAGAAACAGACTCGGCGTGGATATTGTTAGCCTGGAAAATGAGAACAGCCATCCTCTCCTAAGTCAGGCTGAGTCAAAGGAGGCCTGTGTAGTAATTGGGAACGCGCTGCCTGAGCAGTGGGAAGATGAAAACAGTTTAATTTCCAAATTTACCAGTAAAACGGAACGTAGGAAATCACCCCGGCACGTGGCAAAAGTCTTGCCGCGGATGGAGTGTGAGAAGTGCAACGAATCGTTCCGTGTTATCAAGCAGTACCAGTCGCACATGGAGCTCAAGCATGACGTCAACCTGGCTGTCAAGTACAGCTGTACTACGTGCAAGCAGCTCTTCTCCACTCACCAGAACCTCCGGCAGCACCACCTCACCGTTCACGGTGATGAGTGGGGCTTGTCCTGCGTCTTTTGTGACAAGAGGTTTAAGCGCCAGAAGGACATAAATGACCACATCCGCAGGGTGCATGAGAAGAAGCGGGATCCCCAGGCGTGCCCGTACTGCGACAAGGTCATCAGTTCCAAGTGCGGCCTCACGGTCCACATGCGAACGCACACCGCGGAGAAACCTTATAAATGCGAACGCTGTCCCGCCAGCTTTGCTCAGAGGTCTGCTTACAATTCTCATGTAAGGTATAGCATTCTCTGTGTCTGTGTGTGTCCGTGCGCGTGCAGGAAAACGTGTTCTCTCTCTGGGGCACTAGGTTAGAAGAGTTCCTCAAGTCCTTGCTGCTTTAATTCCAGAATTCCTTGGATCTGATCAGAAGCGTGTTGAAATCGGCACGGATTTTTTTCTGTTGACCTCATCAAGTTCTCAGTCTGGATTACTGGATTGAGGTGTCCCAGACTGGGAATTTAGGCAAACATTTCCTGTTGAATCAAAGGGGACTTGTGCAACCGCATCTCGGAGGTGATTTTGGAAGCCTCAGATTTGGATTTTTAACTAGGAGCCTGAAAAGAATCGGTATCTGTTTAAAATGCACGAGAAAATGCCCGTTTCATAAACATCAGGGCTGCGTGGTGCTTTTTAGTATGATTTTCGTGGGCAAATACACTGTGTGCTGTTTTTCTGGGTAGCCTGAGCTTCCGGACGGGGTTATTAAGCGCTGCCTGACTGAAAACAAGATATTGAAATTGCACAGTCGTTTCCAGAACTGCAAAAGCCACTGTACGTGTCAAACGTCTCCGTACCCTGTCTGTGTGGTGCAGGAGATAGGTGGTTTTTCTCCTGGATCTTGGCCTCCCTTTTCAAAAATGTCAGAATTTCTAGTTCAGTCCAGTAGCAGAAAACACATTCCAGATGTGTCGCGAGTGCAATGACATAGCTTGTTCCATGCACTGAGTGGTGATAAATAGAGTTAACCGCTGCAGTTGATTGCTTACAAGGGGCTCTGTTTTGCTTTTCCATATCAGTGTTTAATCTGCATTTCCCTTGTTTGAAGTCCATAATTTCTTATCCTGTCCACCATGGCCTTGGAGGAAAATTTACAGTCCATCCTATGTTACTAGTCAGATGACAAATATGTCTACTTGAGAGGCTCTGTCCTTGATGAACTGAGACATTTTAATTTTCTTTAATTATCCGGTCCAACTCTACAGAACATTTCCCTGGTTTTCGGCCCTCTAACCATGCTGTTAATTTCTTAAATGATGTGAAGGACAATTAAAATGAAATTACTCTTCCTCTAAGGCAAACATGGCTGAATTGAAACCATTAAACTTACTGAAGTTGTGTTCTGTTGTTTGTTTCTTTTAACAGAAAAGTCCATGAGTCTGGGCAAGAGAGGAAACTTATGCCTGTCTATTGGATGGTAGTTCCGCCTGCACACAGACCAAATGCAACAAGCTGTGACGGAGATCCTGACAGAGAGACATGGAATGGGACATCAGAGGCTGAACGACAAAAGCGTGCGAGGCACGAAGAGGCCGCAAGTCGTGAGGAAGAACCCGGGGATTCATCTGTTAACAAAGCAGACTGTAGCAATGAGCAAGAAGAACGGAAGCGGAAATATAAGGAAACTGAAGCAAGAAGTGAAAAACTGAGTGAAGAAGGGAATGAAGATGAAGGTGAAATGAGCATGAAGGGAGAGGAGGAGGTAGATTACAAAGCAGGGTATTTGGAGGTGGAAGATAGTAGAGATAATGAGGAGGTCTGTACTGAGGAGGATGATGAGGATGATGAATACTGTAATGAGAAGGATGGTGAAGAACGTGAATCAGATGAAGAGTTTCAAATAAAGAAAGTAAATAAAAGCGGGGTGCATAAGAAATCTGCCTATGTAATAACGTGTGAGAAGTGTAACGAGCAGTTTGTTTCCCGGAAGAAGTATGTGGATCACTGCAGAGATGTCCATCAGTGCTTGCCTGGTAAAGTCTATCAGTGTGACGTCTGCAGCAAGTCGTTTGCTAGTTACAACAGCTGGAAGGAGCATCGAGCGTGTGTCCACACTGAAGAAAGGCAGTTTGCCTGCACCCTTTGCAATGCTACTTTTAAAAGAAAGAGAGATGTGAGGACGCATTATATGCGGAAGCACGAAGGCAGAGTCAAACGCCCTCTCTGCTCTGTCTGCGGGAAGATCCTCAGCTCCCGAACAGCACTGGTGTTTCACATGCGGACGCATACAGGAGAAAAACCTTACGAATGTGGCATTTGTCAATCAAGATTTGCTCAGCCATCGCAACTTAAGATCCATACCAGGTCAGCCTAAAGTACCGCTTCTCCCCTTACTGCTCCCTGCATGTCCAGAGTACTTCAGCACTTCTTTTTCCTCTTCTGAGTCATTCTCTCTGTGTGTTCTTATAACAGGAACACTGGGATATAATTTGTTCTGTAGTGCCTGTGATTAATCCTTTTACGCAAAGGCTTTGTCTGCATCTGGACATTGCATCACTTTTGGGTAGGGATTTTGAAACAGATGTTCTATCCAAACTTGTAAGCAAAAGCCAGTCATTTGAGACAGTCACCAAAATGAGATGATGGCCTTCACCAATGGAAAGTACCATAGGCTGAAGAATTAGTCAAGGGCCTCAGAGACCCCAGATGCTGAGCCCTGCTCTTTCCTTATCGCTCTGAGCAAGTCACTTAGCTTGGGATTTCATTTCTTGTGTGCAGTACGAAAGCTGGAGCGCTCATCTGGGCTCCCTCTGTAGTCGTTGGAGCTAGGCTGGATGAATTGCTCTCTGGTGGTGTCTCTGTTACATGTGTCCTCTCCGAGGAGAGGGTGAAACATCCCATGGAATTCCCCATCTTCCTCCAAACAGGGAGTGTAGCAGGCAGCTTGTAAGAGGAGGTTAACTACTGGAGGGCTAAAAGAGGTGAGAGAAATCCTCTTGGTGTGGACCCGTACAATGAGGACAGTGGGCTGCTTCTGTCTCCTCGGTGTTCTTAGAGATTTAAAACGTGGTGAGGTATACTGATTCAGGACCAGCAAAACATCCAAAATGTCGCAATAATCTCTCAGCTGAAACGCAGCAGAGCCACACCGCATGTGAGATACGGTACGACTGCCACAAAACAGTGCGTCACGGGGTTTGTGTTGGGTGACTGGCTGACCGTATTGGCAGCATTGTGCCTGACAACTCAGAATTATCCATGGTTTTGCACATCTTACTATTTGGATTGGAATAAGGGAAGTTGGCACAGTGTTAAGACCAAACATTAGGCTCAGACTTTCTCTGATTTGAGCTAGTTTAAAATCAGATGTCCAGCGTGCGTTTGGAAATGCTGCTTGCCTTAATTTCCTCAGTGCCTTTTGTCTTAAAAATGGGAATATCCTGCCAGCTAAAGCTTGCAGGGCAGAGGACGTGAGACGGAGGGATCACGGAAGCCAAGAACGTGGCCCGTAATGTCCCAAGAGATCTGCTACTGGGGACAATCTGGATGCACTTTCAGTCTCTAGCACAGCAGCAGCATGTCATCTGCCCTGCTTTCTCCCTTCCGATGCTTATACTATGAGGTATAACTTGTGAAAGAAAGGTGGGGTTTGTAGGGCCTGAGCGCGAGGGAAAAAAACCTTCCTTCTGTGGGGATGTTAGCGCTTTAGTGTAGCATTCTATATGCTATACTGGCAAACGCTCTGTGAGGAGAATGTATTTTTTTTCCATTTCATTTAAAAACTGGAGCATGCTACCTGCAGTGTGTAGAACATAATTTCAAACACGGTATTTTAAGAACGCACTACAAGAGCTAATTTAGTGATAGGCATTTGTGTTTCGCTCCATTTAGGTCCCATACAGGGGAAAAGCCGTATATTTGTGAGGACTGTGGGGCTTGCTTTGCTGATAAAGGCAAACTCACCGGCCACAAAAGGACCCACACAGGTAGGCCTTAAATGCTTCTGTTCCTCCCATCTGATTCCTCCCATCACTTCCCTTTATACTGATAAAAACTTCTGGTTGGGATTTGAAGAAGGTGTACTTTGAAGTACAAAATTCTGGTGAAAGAATTCAGAATGTCTTTTTCTCTTTACTCAGGGGAGCGCCTTTTTAAATGTGATGTGTGTGGAAAACATTTTGCTACCAACGAATATTTAAAATGCCACAAACGATGCCACATGGGCGCTAAGCCCTACAAGTGCGAGGTTTGTGGCAAGACGTTTGGACTGAGAGCCTCGCTAGCCCAGCACAGTAATGTCCACGCAGGTAACGAAACAAACTCATCGGGGCTGGGAAAATAAACTGCACTGAAAGCTCAGACCTGAGGTACCTTCCAGTTTGGGTGGTGACATTTTATTCCAGAACCACTTTTATAAGCTCCTTGAATTAGGTGATGAGGAGAAGCAAGGCTCATACCAATCCTAACTTGTTAAGCAGGGCACGATATCGTCTTGTATCGTATCGTACGATGCTTGCCCAGAAGACTGAGGCCTGTTTTGTGCTTCTGAAGGATGTCGGAGCAGAGGGTGACTGTAGTTGTCGCTGTTCCCCTTGCAAGATCAGAGAGCTGTTCTCTGGCATTTCCTTGCAGCCAAGGAACATTTATCACATCACCTTAAAAACCAGGACTCAGGCATGTATCTCCTACGTACACCATTTTATCAACAGTGATCTTTTAAAAATTCTTTATGCTTTTTGTCTGCTGAAATCAGGACCAGCAGAACCTACCTTCTAACTCTGTGCTTCCTGGATTTTCTTGTTGGTTTTAGAGACCCGTCCGTATTTCTGCGAACAGTGCGGGAAAACGTTCACCCAACAGGGCGCTCTCCGTCGCCACCAGCGCATTCACACCGGGGAAAAGCCGTACAAGTGCAGAGCTTGCGAGAGAACCTTCACCGACATGTCCACCTTGCGCAGACACGTGTCGGTAGGCTGCCCCTCGTCTGTCCTCGTGGCGGGCAAGCCACGGTGGTGGCATTTAACTACCGAGAGAAGCTTCTTGCCTTAATGAGGGTTGACGTTGGTGCTTAACTTCTCATCTTTATTTTAAAAAAAAAGCGGAAGAATGAATGTTAGGGTTGGGGGATTGATCTGCCTTCTACAGACAGCTTTTAAAAATACGTAGGTTGTAGACGAATACGATTTTACGTGTTTCCAGCATTGTGATACGCTGAGCTTTGCTGTTTTCAGAGACCTTCGGGTCCTTGAAGTGACTGCGAAGGCAGAACATAAGGTTTTCTTCCAGTGACAAGTTTTTAAGTTAATGTTTGCCTGTATGTTAAAAGTCTGGCTTCTTTGGAAGTGCTCCCTGACAGCGGAGCCAGGAAATCACTGCAGAGTTGGCAAAACAGTTCTTGCGGTTCAGAGTCCAGCAGAGTATCGCAGAGTTAACCCTGATGCTATTTCATTTTGTGCTGGATTAAATCTTCAGTTATTAAAGTAGTTGTTAGAAAAAAATTCAGATGTAATTGGTTTTCCCCCCTCTTTCTTTTTTTCTTTTTTTCCTTTTTTTCCCCCCTAGATTCACGACCGGAATGCTCACTGGAGAAGTTTCTTAATAGATCTTACAACCAAAAAAGACCATAACTGGTCTAAAATAGAAACGTTCTCGGACGCCTGCATGGGTGAAGGCTCTGCGCCGGAAATTTGGTCGGTTGACCAAGGTAAACTTTATAAACCAGAAAGCGTTGTCCTTAACAAAGTAGAACATGTGCCATCTAGCGTTAGTCACGCAGAAGACACCGATCGCTCCCTTCTGTACTTATAACGTCATTTATCACCAGAAAACCGCGCAGGAAGCTCGCCGGGCCGGAACAGGCTAAATTATCCCACAGGTTGGTTGCCGCGGCCTCGCTAAGCTCCACGGCGCGGTGTGGGCTTCATGCGGGTGAGCTGGGGTGACGGACATTGCAGGCGCAGAGGGGTCCGTCGTCCTTCTTTAAAAAGTGTTTATGCCGCTTAGATTGTAGGTCTGGACAGAGCTTTATTTTTTACCGAGTCTTGACTACGTCACGGCGTATCGCTTTGTGTGGGTGGACAGATGTGGGTGTGGTGCTGTCGCTGTAAATTATTGCTTGGTTTGTTTGTTTTTTTTAAATAAAGATGCGCTCGTAACGTAAGTGACCAGCCGTCCCGTCACGTAATTGATTCGCACAGATTCGACTGCTGCGGCACCGGGCACGGCTGGGCCGCGTTGCCTGGCAACGCCCCGTCGCGCCGCATGACGCCATTTCCTGCGCGTCA